CATGGATCTCTTAGCTTCTAGAAGCTGCCCATTCAGATAACAGCTGCGAAAATCTAAAGTGGACCAACAATATAGGGTGGGGGGCAGAACACGCGGCCGGAGAACACTGTGTCTGCTGCAGGATGCCCATGTGGTTCTTTAAACCTAGCATAGTCACCGATTCTCATTTCCTCTTGCGGCTAAAAATGTCCCGTGCTGGGGGCTCTCTATAAAAATATCAGCTGTCTTGAGGCCGGCGGGTGGCTGCCATCCTGCAAACAATAGGCCGCAAAAGCCTCGCAACTCTGACGTGGAAGAGCTGCAAAGCGATGCGTTGGGACACTCCGTACCTGTCAACTTCGAAGTAAACAGAAGCCCTGCCCCGTCAGCGCGAGCCGTAGCTGTTCCGCCAGGCTGCCCGCATTACGATTTCACGGGCCCATTTTAAAAATCCGTCCTGTCCTGAAGATGCTGTCTCGGGTTTTGACCCTTTGTAGCAGTGAGATGTGTCTGCGTTTTTTTGTTTTTTTTTTTGCGATTCAGCGTTTGACTTCAGTAATCCTCTGTAAATCTGCCTGTTTATCTGCGGCTATTCATGTTGTTGCACAGGTCTGGGTGAGTCAGTGTCTGTGTTTGCAGCTGCGGGATCCCACCAGGCGTTTCTCTGGGGCGGGGCAGTGTGGGGGGGGGGAGAGGTGTCCAGGAGTGGGTTGTAAATTTCTTGTGCGTGTGCATGTATGCGGTTGACAGGTACTGTATGTGCGACCCAGGGAGACAGAGCGGCTGGAATACGGTGTTGATCCCCAACAGGAGACCCGTTGTGGACGCACGGTGTTCTGTTTGGGCGTGGTCGCCCGCGGGCGCCCTGTGAACACGGGTGTGTGCGGGTGTGAGTGTGCGAGTGTGAGTGTGCAAGGGTGAGTCAGAGCACATGACTGTGGCACCGCCGGTGAAAACTTAGGGAAGGAAGAGGGAGAAGGGAGGGGCCGGGGTGCTGGCTGTTGCCGAAATCCCTAGAAGAGGGATGTGAGGCCCACAGTGTTTTTTTTGCTTTTTCATTCAAAACAGACAATGAGGGTGACTGACGCCGCAGAAATGAACACGGTCGTCACGTCGATCTTTCCAGAGTGCCTGTGTTTGCACTCATGCCGCTAATCACTGCCAAGCACGACGTCTATAGCGCCCCCCCCCCCTCCCCTCCCCGAGAGCTGTACGTTTAATGAGAGGTGTGTATTTAAAATAAGGAGAGGGTGCTGTTCCACACCCTGCGCTCACTGCCCTTTTAAAATGCCGTTAGCATGGGAGTTTCAGGAGTCCCCTGAAA